CTATAAGTCACTCATCATGCCCGTGCTGATATATGGCGCAGAAGCTTGGCCAATGGAGTAGTCGAGAGAAAGATTTTGCGGAAGAATGAGGGGCCTTTACGCATTAGCGAAGGCGACTCCAGCTTTGAAAGTATTCAACTCAAAACCCACTGGTGGTAGCAGAGGAAGAGGAAGGCCTCCTCTGCGATAGAAAGATCAAGTGGAAAAGGACTTGGCAAGCAGAAGCCCTTCAATTTGTGCCACTCTATACAAAATAGAATGGATAAATGAATGCAGAATGGCTTTTAGCTCCTGAAATTATCGACTGGATCGTTGTAGCAACAGTGGCTGCATTTTATTCACACCAGAATGCCTATCGAAAGAACCGATCGCTCACCGAAACAAGTGCCGGCTCAAAGGGAATTTCGGCATGCGGCTGCAGAGATTGAATAAATTCGTTCACGGACAGTTTTTAGACTCTCCCTATCAACTTGTCTGATAAACCTTTTGGATTAAGATTAGCTGAGTATACCTCCCAGTGCACCGTGCGCCCAGGCTTATTAAACAGCTGACGCACGACTTTTTCTTAGCGCTGAGACTTCCCGAGACCCCCCAAACGGTTTTGGCCATGCGATTTGGCCTTGTCTCGGGACAGCTAGAGAGATAATATCTATTAGCCTGTAAGCTGGGTATTCTAACTGCATAAAATCGAAACTATATATATTTTAATTAAATAATTTATTAATATTTGTGCAAGAACTTACCCGAACAGCTTCGCAACAATCATTTTCCGCACAACATGTTTGTTTCAGACACACAATTGTACCACATAATAAACAAATGGAGCTTTCCTTTGGCNGCCGAAACAAGTGCCGGGTCAAAGGGAATTTCGGCATGCGGCTGCAGAGATTGAATAAATTCGTTCACGGAAAGTTTTTAGACTCTCCCTTTCAACTTGTCTGATAAACCTTTTGGATTAAGATTAGCTGAGTATACCTCCCAGTGCACCGTGCGCCCAGGCATCTTAAACAGCTGACGCACGACTTTTTCTTAGCGCTGAGACTTTCCGAGACCCCAAACGGTTTTGGCCCCGCGATTTGGCCTTGTCTCGGGACAGCTAGAGAGATAATATCTATTAGCCTGTAAGCTTGGTATTCTAACTGCATAAAATCGAAACTATATATATTTTAATTAAACAATTTATTAATATTTGTACAAGAACTTACCCGAACAGCTTCGCAACAATCATTTTCCGCACAACATGTTTGTTTCAGACACACAATTGTACCACATAATAAACAAATGGAGCTTTCCTTTGGCACTTTGTAACAATTCAGACATGGACGTTCGTGGTAGTACTAAAAAAAAACACCAAACACAATAATACAGAAACTATTATTTGAATTAGTACTGGCATACCGTGAACAAGCGCTCATATTCGCGTGGTAGCTCGAGGAGTTTCGGCTGCTGCCACGATGCATGCTGGTTCATGATGACGAGCTCTCGCACTGTATCGGTTGGTGGCCCTATATACATTAATTGCTCACACCAAAACTTGGGCAGAGTTTGTTCAGTTCCAGCAATGAAGCAGAGGCCCTTCGAAGCATTAAAACAGTCCCAGTCCATTGAATCAGTTACGAGTTCCAAGTAATAAACCAGTCGCACAAACTCTAAGCCCGGAGCTGATATCTCTGGCATGTCGTGCCTGTAAAGATGCTGCCTCAGCAATGCCGCAATGCGCAGAAATGGTAGGCAAAGAGTTTGCAACTGAGCTTCCATGGATTTCATATTTACTTCGACCTCGGTATTGGAAGCTCCAGTACCAACTCCATTTCCACTGCTGGACGACGGA